CCAACGCAACATTTTAGGTGTGGTTAATTTTAATGATATGTTTAGAGAAATGGCCCTGTTGCTGAGCAAAGCAAATGTCAATGTTTGTGTTATCAGTGCTGATGCTCACATGATGTTAGATTTGCAGATAGTGCTCAATCTTGCCGAATCAGACATGATGCTGCCTGTACAGAAGGTATGGGTGATGACAGCCCATTGGGATTTTTCAGTGGAGCCCTTCTTAAATAATTTAAATATGCACATTTTCCATGGTGCCTTGTCCTTTGCAAGTCACACCTCAGAGATGTCAGCATTTCAGCATTTCCTTCTCTTCCAAGACCCCCATTCTCTTACAGATCATTTTATCAGAGTCTTCTGGGAACAAGCATTTAAATGTTCATTTCCAGCTTCTGCAACGGACAAGAACCATGGAAGTTGTACTGGCAATGAGAGTCTAGAAAGCCTTCCACGGCCTTTTTTCGAAATGAGCATGACTAGTCAGAGCTACAGTGTTTATAATGCTGTCTATGCTGTGGTGCTTGCTTTGCATGCCTTTTATTCATCCAGAAGTAAACATGAAGCTGTGTTGATGGAAGATCACCCAAGCACTTCAAAATTACAGTATTTTCAGGTAATATCTCATCTAGGAGGCAGATTAACTTTGGTGCATCAGTGTTGTTGTTAATATTGTCTTCATTTGAATAAGAAGAGTTCTTCTTCTCTATACCATTAACCAGTAGAACACCTTGCCTTCAGAAGTTATGGGTGCTTGATCACTGGAGGTTTTTAAGAAGAGACTGGACAGTCACCTGTCTGTAATGGTATAGGTTCTCCTGTTTGAGCAAGGGCTGGACTAGAAGACTTCCAAGGTCCCTTCAAGGTCTATTCTGTTTGATAATGCTTTACTCCACATTTCCAAAGGAGATGCAGAGAGGAAATGAATCACTGTAGTTGTTAAATCAGCTACATGATTATTAAGTAAATCTAGCTTCTCCCATTGACTTTGTCATAAGAAGGTGGCTGGGAAGATCACAAGTGAAGCTCTCAGTCTTTCTATTTTGGATGGATACATAAGATATGATGAACGAATGATTCCCTGCTGCCAAATGTGGTTATCACATGACTCCAGGAAACTGCAACTGTTGTAACTACATACCAGGTGCCAAACACCCAAATTCTGATCACTTGATTGGGTGGATGCTGCAACAATCTTAAGTCTAGAGTCACCAGGAGAAAGTCATCATATAAATTTAATTCCATAGTAGTACTCTATGACAATATTGTTCATAGTCAATACAATTGATAATCTTACAAATTTTCATATTAATGCACATATATTTTTCATTGTGCACCATTTCAGTATCTTTTACATTTTTAATTTTGCCACAATTGTGTTTGAGATACATTTTCTGATAGTTCTTAGTATCCTGTTAAAAACTGAACTGAACTGATTGGGGAATAAAATAATGGGACTACTGATAATGAAAATAGAGCAAGGGTTTCAAACCACGTTGTCATCACATGATGTATCACAACTTTTTTCCCCTTCACTAAACTGAACATGGGTGTGACCAGCATGTGACACATCCAGCCCATGGACCACGAGTTTGACAACCCTGCTTTAGAGTATAGCCAATCATTATTCCAAGCCAAACAATTGTCACTGTTTTCACCGCTTTGGTAATACTTGTCAAAACTTCATTTATTCCAGCTTTATCATTTCCTAAGTCAAATTTCCTTTAACAATAGTGCTGGAGACAAAGTGTCTTTTGACAAAAAGCATGAATTGCTGGCTGGATTTGACATTATCAACTGGGTTACTTTCCCTAAAAAATCATTCATGAAAGTGAAAGTGGGACAGATGGATCCTGAAGCACCATCAAGCAGAAGGTTCATCATCAATGAAAGAAAAATCACATGGCAGAACCATTTTAAACAGGTATCACCATAATAAAGATAAAGGTTCCCCTTGCATGTATGTGCTAGTGGTTTCCAGCTCTAGGGGCGGTGCTCATCTCCATTGCAAGGCTGAAGATCCAGCGCTGTCTGAAGACATCTCTGTGGTTGTTATGTCCCTGGAACTTGCAAGAGTTCCCACCCAGGTCCGCTCATGCTGCGGGGGCGTTTGCTGTCCCTCATTGGCTGGTTTCCCCCAGCAGCCGGCTATAAAAGTAGGCTGCGGGGTTCAACCAGTCGCTGATCGCTGCGAGCCAGTCCCAGGCTTGGCGAGCACGTTCAGTCCTTTATTGTTCCAATAAAGTATTGTTGCATCCATGCCCTGGTCAAGCCTCTCATTGCTCAACTACAACACTGGCGACGAGGGTGGGATGGCTACCAGAGGCAACTCACAACAGCTGAAGTCACTGAATTGCTGAGCCGCAGCCTCGCCGCCGGAGAGCTCGGTCAGCAAGAGCGAAAGTAATAAGCGTCTGTAGCCGCTTGTTAGCAAGCTACAGAGGAAAGTGAAGCGCTGCGAGCCGCAGCCGCTCAATTCAAAGAGCGCGAAATTCAAACAGCTGTCGTTTGAATTTCAAGCCAGGATACAGCGCGGTGCTGTAATTCCGAGTCACTGACACTAACGCAGGTGCGAAATTCAAAGTGCCATCAGAGCGGTTAAGCCATCGCCGCCTACGCTCTCCAGGAGCGCGAAAAACAAATCGCTGCCAACAGCCGTTGCAGCTTGCTGCGTGTAAACCCAGAGAGAAAGAGAGGTGCGGAGCCTCTCCAGAGCTGAAGTCACTTGCCTCCCAAAGGCACAAGAGTTTTTTTTTCCTCCATTGTTGTCTCAGAGAGATCCCATAGCAGTTAGCCACTAGATTCTCAACATGAACTCCAACCCAGCCTTCCCATCGTTCAAACCGGATGAGGAGAAATGGGAGTCATACAAGAATCGTTTTAACCACTATATCGACGCCATTGGGCTGGCTGATGCAGGGGAGCACCGAAAAAAATCATTTTTCCTGAGCTACTGCGGAGCCATCATTTTTGATACTGCCACAGCACTCGTGGCTCCACGTGAGTTGAAAAATGTCCCCTGGACAGAACTGTTAGAAATCCTTACTAACCACTATTTTCCTAGACCCTCACAGATTGCCAGGCGGTTCACCTTCCGAATGAGGAAGCAAGCAGACAAAGAGACTATCAACCAGTACATGGCTGCCCTCAGGACTGCAGCACTCCATTGTGGGTTTGGGAGCTACCTTGATGACATGCTCCTCGACCATCTAGTCTGCGGGGTCAAGGACCTTCACCTCCAAAGACGCCTACTCGCTAGGAAGGACCTCAACCTCGCTCAAGCCGTCGAGGAAGCCCTGGCAGCAGAGCTGGCAGCACATTCAGCCACCGAGATCCAAGGTCCTGTCTCCAAGCAAATGGCGGTTTCCGTCCACTCTGAAGAGGTGGTCATCGAGGAGGACCCCAGTGATGAGGCCGACATCCACCGCCTCACCCACGCCAGACACCCGCAGGTAGGAGCCAAGCAAGAAAGCAACAGTCCACCCAAGCACATCACTCTGTGCCTATCCTGTGGTGGATCTCACCCGAGGGCCACCTGCAAATTCAAGGGAGCCACCTGCAACAATTGCCACAAAAAGGGGCACATCGCCAGAGTCTGCCAAGCTGCTCACAACTCGGCACAAAGGGTCCCTTCCTTTTCACATTCTGGACCCCAAAGGCAAGTATTGAACTGTCGCACTCGCCACTATGCTAAGCACACTTGCCATGCTATTAGTAAAATCTCACTCTCCGTTTTATTAGAAGGTAAACCTTGTCGTATGGAGGTTGACACGGGGTCAGCGCTCTCAATTATCTCTTGGAGCACCCTCAAGAAACTACAGCCCAGACTATCCAGAAACCGGCTCCAGAAGTGCCAGCTCAATCTGAAGGACTACCAGGGGAAGGACATCCCTGTAATCGGCAGAGGCAAGTTCCTTGTTAATTTTAAAACTTTCAAAGGCCACCTACCTCTAGTGGTAGTTAACGGCAACCTCCCTACACTCTTGGGGCTTGATTGGTTCCCCCATCTCAGCCTAGGGTTAACAGGAGTACATGCTGTCTCAACCTCTGACACTGACTCCTTATTCGCTGACTACTCAGACGTATTCAGCGATGAGCTGGGGTGTTATAACGGTACCCCTATCTCATTCTCAGTCGACCCCCAAGCAATCCCAATCCGGTTGAAACCTCGTAGAGTCCCATTCGCCATTCGGCCTAAATTGGATGCGGAACTGGATAAATTATTAAAACAAGGGGTCATTGAGCCAACAGATTTCGCCAAATGGGAGACGCCCATTGTCACACCCCTCAAAAAAGACGGTAGTCTGAGAATTTGTTCAGACTACAAAACCACAATTAACCATTTTTTACAAGTTAGCGCTTATCCAGTACCCGTCATTCAACATTTATTGCACACTTTTGAACCTGGCAACATTTTTGCCAAATTGGACATGTCTCAAGCGTATCAACAGTTCCCTGTTGACAATCAAACAGCCGAACTTCAAACCATTGTCACCCACAGGGGTGCTTTCCGGTGCAAGTGTCTCCAATTTGGCGTAAGTGTTGCTCCAGGCATTTTCCAATCCCTCATGGAGCGGATATTGCAGGGCCTCCCTGGTGTAGTACCCTACTTCGACGACATTTTGGTCTCGGCCAGGGACAGACCCCAACTCTTCCAGAGAGTTTGAGCAGTGTTAGAGAGGTTCAGACAGCATGGCCTCAAATTAAAAAGGGAAAAATGTGCCATTGCCACTAGACTGGTGGACTTTCTGGGTTATAAAATTGACACCTCAGGCATTCACCCCCTGGAGTCCAAGGTTAAGGCAATTCACGAGGCACCCACACCAACCTCCAAGGCAGAACTGCAGGCCTTTTTGGGATTATTGAATTTTTACGCATCATTCCTGCCCCACAAAGCATCTGTGGCAGAACCCCTGCACAGACTTTTGGATAAAAAAATCATCTTGGCACTGGGGACACAAGGAAGACACCGCTTTTCGCGCAGTCAAATCACTACTCACTTCAGATGCAGTCCTTATTCAATTTGACCCTAACCTTCCATTAGTGCTGGCAGCTGACGCATCCCCTTTTGGAATTGGGGCAGTGTTAAGCCACAGGCTCCCCAATGGCTCCGAGGCCCCCATCGCCTTCTTTTCTAGGACGCTCTCTGCAACAGAGCGCAATTACAGTCAAATCGATAAGGAAGCTTTAGCAGCTGTCGCAGCAGTGAAGAAATTTCATGAATTTCTTTTTGGCCACTTTTTCGAGCTAGTCACAGATCATAAACCTCTCCTGGGTCTCCTAGCAGGAGACAAACAGACTCCCCAAGTGCTGTCTCCCAGAATGACGAGGTGGACCCTTTTCCTAGCAGCGTACTCGTATAAACTCATACACCGTCCGGGAAAAACATTAACCCACGCAGACGCCCTCAGCCGCTGCCCCCTGCCTGCTCCAGCTGAAGATCCTGCCCCGGTCCATGCTATCTTCGAGGTCACCCAGCTTGACCTTCCCATCACTGCCCTTGACATCGCCTCCAAATCCAAGGCAGACAAAATGATCGCCCAGGTACTGGACTGGGTGAGGAGGGGGTGGCCGAGAAATAACATTGAAACCAAATTCACGCCTTTTAAGACCCGTCAACAGGAGTTATCGATCTTGCAGGGCTGTTTGCTGTGGGGCACCCGAGTGGTCATTCCGACCTCATTTCGCACCCGAGTCTTGGAGGCATTACACGAGGGCCACCCTGGCATCGTCAGGATGAAGGCGTTGGCACGCAGCTACGTCTGGTGGCCAGGCCTCGACGATGACATCATCAGATGGGTAAGCTCTTGCCATCCCTGCCAAGAATCCCGACCATCCCCTCCAATCGCCTCCCCCACTAAGTGGGAAAGTGCCAGCGCACCTTGGTCCAGGATTCACATTGACTTGGTGGGCCCGATTCACGGCAAAATGTTCCTGGTGGTCGTGGACTCTTACTCAAAGTGGATTGATGTGGCCCAACTATCCACGACCACCACACAAGCAGTTACTAAGGCGTTGACCCACCTGTTCATAACACACGGGTTACCAGACTCTATTGTTTCCGACAATGGCCCCCAGTTTGCCTCAGCCGAGTTCAGTCGTTTCGCCGCTAACCTGGGCATCCACCACATCTTCACGGCTCCCTTTCATCCTGCCAGCAATGGTTTGGCAGAGAGAGCCGTTAGGACCACTAAAGAAGCATTAGCCAGGTTCAGCAAGGAAGACTGGCATCACAGACTCTCCCGTTTCTTGCTGAGCCAGCACTCAACCCCGTGCACGGTCACTAATAAGTCCCCGGCTGAACTCCTGATGGATAGACGCTTGCAAACAGTGTTGGACAGGCTTCACCCTCATTACTGCCCTGACTCTCCCCTCGCTTCAACGTCGGGGGTTAGACATTTTGTCTTACAGGAACCTGTGTTTGCAAGGAACTACGCTGGAGACCCCTTGTGGATCCCAGGAGAGATCGTGGCCATCACTGGCCCCAGGTCGTACCGAGTCAGGCTGGAGGATGGCCGCATCTGGAAAAGGCACCTGGATCAACTTCGGAGGCGCCACGGTTCCCACGCCAACGTTGACTCATGGGCGCAGATCAGTCCTAGGCCACTACATCAACCACACATCAACACCAGTCCCGGTGACCCGTCACCACCACTAGGTGAGCCAGGGAGTCTGGACATGGACCGTGACCGTCTGATGACTGACCAACCCGATTCAGCAGACGAGGACACATCTCCACCGACCAGCTCTACGACTCCCGAACCAACGCAGACCGATGAGCAAGTTCGCGATTCCCCACCGGTCCAACCTTCCACTACAGACTCCGAGTTACTTGACAACTCACCAGAATTGCGCCGTTCAGGGCGCCAGCATAGACCACCCGCTTATTTAAATGACTATGCGTGTTCACATCTGGGGGGAAGGGGTGTTATGTCCCTGGAACTTGCAAGAGTTCCCACCCAGGTCCGCTCACGCTGTGGGGGCGTTTGCTGTCCCTCATTGGCTGGTTTCCCCCAGCAGCCGGCTATAAAAGCAGGCTGCGGGGTTCAACCAGTTGCTGATCGCTGCGAGCCAGTCCCAGGCTTGGCGAGCACGTTCAGTCCTTTATTGTTCCAATAAAGTATTGTTGCATCCATGCCCTGGTCAAGCCTCTCATTGCTCAACTACAACAATGGTCATGTGGCTGGCATGACTAAACACCAAAGGCATACAAAATACTGTTACCTTCCCATCAAACAATGCATATGTAATTTAGCCCTATGTATATAGTGGCATTTTTACATGCTTTTGAACTGCTAGGTTGGTAAAAGCTGGGACAAGTAATGGGAGCTCACTCCATTATGTGGCGCTAGGGATTCAAACTGCCAAACTGCTGACCTTTCTGATCAATGAGCTCAGTGTCTTAGCCACTGAGCCACCGTCCCTTTTAACATCACAATATGGACCCATAAATTTGTAATGAACTAGATGTCATAATTTTGGTATCTAAGGAAGCTAACTATGTAACTGCTTCTGGTGTGGTTGTGATGAGATCATCCAAGGTGCCTTGAAATTTCTTGAAGAGATATTCTTGAACTGTAGGTATTATAAGTTTGCAGTCTGCACCAAGTCACATTGAAGGCTCTCAACCATTCCCCACCCAAAGAGCTTTACCTTAGTTCTGACAGGGTCTGTCTGGATTCTGTTCAGGTGGCTGTATATTTTGTGGGAAAACTGCATTCCTTGAAATGGTTTTGTTGGATCTGTGTGTTCTGTTTGGTTGTGGTTATTAAAAGTTGCTCATCTTTATCTAGGTTGTAACACTGTGGTGTGTTATTCCAAATTGGCTTCTTAGATTTAAGCTAGATGAGAGGTAGATAGACTAAAGTTTTATGTATTGAAAGATCTCTTTTCAGCAATTAACAATCCCCAGTGCTTTTATATTAAGTGTCTGGAAGAGAACAAATTTGAAGTTGTTGATCCTATTCAAGAAATTTTTGGATTTGAAAAGCTAGTTTGCAAGGGTGGAAGAAGAATTTTTTTTAAAAAAAGATTGCTTCCTTTCTTTTTTTCCTGCACAAAAATGGAGGCCTTTCTTTTTTCTTTTTCTTTTTTTCTGACTGACCCTCTGTTTTTTTTTTAATAATAAATTTTTATTATACATTTTCTCAAAAATGAAGACCTTTCAAACTGAGGAAATGCTTAGTTGTCCCAAGGTTCTACTGTGTATCTTAATACCTCTGACTGAGGATATTAATTTTAATTACCTGTCTAGCTTTTAGGCCATCCTTCTAGCTTTACCCATGGTGATCCTTTCAAGCACATAAGGAAAGACTCTGTCAAGGTGACTTCTTAATATGTAAGTTTCCAAATATCTGAGGCAAATAAATATACTTGGCGTGTCAGCTCCAGGGTATAAAGTGATAATCTCCCTGTTCTTTATATAATTAATTTTTGGGAGGGTTATTGTATCTCTACACATGTACACCCACACTCCATTGTCTATATTCTTCCAGTGGTTTAATTAAATTACTCAGGAACTGCTTCGGTGGCAGTGGAGAAAGGAACTGGATGATGCAAGCAATGAAATTCCCCCTTTTCTACTTGTCTTGTGATATTGAACAGACATCTAAAAGAGTTGAAGTTTTCAGTGTGAAGCCACCTATCAGAATTTGGAGATAGTTCAGACAAGAAACCAGTTCCATTATATTATATTTATTGTAAGAACTAATCAGGGGTGGGATTCAAATGTCTTAACAACCGGTTCTGTGGGCATGGTCTAATTTGTGGGTGTGGCTTGGTGGTCACATGAATGTCTGGGCATGGCTTGTATGTAAATATTGTAAATATTTATGTAAATATTGAATTTTTTATTTAAAAAAGAGCAACTTTTACCCAAAATCAGGCAAAGCAGGCAGGCAGATTGAGTTGCTCACAGAATCACAGATTCACCTAGAGATCTACCTTTTTGCAATCTATTGCCTGAGTTTGTCACATAAAATTTGCTTGCAAGCAAAATCATAAAATTTGGAAGCAAGCAAACTCACAAAATTAAGTCACAACACACCATGCAAGTAAATATTGATTTTTGTTATAAAAAGAGCAACTTTTACCCAAAATCAGGCAAAGCAGGCAGGCAGGCAGATTGAGTTGCTCACAGAACCACAGATTTACTTAGAGATCTATGATTCTGCAATCTACTACCTGAGTCTTCACTGAAATGTAGAACCTTCAGCCTTAAGAAAGGTTCAGCTCTGCTTTTAGATTATCTAGAAAACAAGACATGCAACAATTTCCTGCTTTGTAGCTAATCTAAATCTCCTGGCACAGCAGAACAGCTGATGGTTGGGAAGGAAAAGAGAAAATAGCAATCTAGCAGGCAAGTTTGCCAGGTAAGGAGTAAGTGGGCGGGGTGGGGAGGGTGCGCAGCATTTCAAACTCCTCTTCTTTCCTGCTTTTTCAACCTCAGCTGTGTCATGCAAAGCAGCTGAGGTTGAAAAAGCAGGAAATAAAGGATAGCCAAGTGCTCGGGCAGGTGGGCGAACCAGTTCAGTGTCAGCTGCTCTTCAGAACTACCGGTTCTATAGAACCAGGCCGAAGTGCTAGCATCCCACCCCTGGAACTAATGAATATTTCTCAGAAGTTTATGATGCATGTACTGATTTCTGAAAACGATTGGATTCAATGGAATAAAATATATTTCTCTCCTTCCCCCCACCCCTCTCATAGACTATACCTCTTGCTCTGTGCAATGATCATTGCCGACCAGGTTTCAGAAAGAAAAGGAAGGAAGGGAAGCCATTTTGCTGCTATGATTGTAATACTTGTCCATCAAGAAAGTTTTCAAATGAAAGTGGTAGGAAATGTTGTACTGTAGTGTTTGTATATGTGCAAATGAAAGTATCCACAAAGACACAAACAGATAAGTCAGACTGAGACAGCTATCACACACATACAGGTCATTCTCATTATTCATGAGAGTTCCATTCTAGTTGAACTCTCAAATAGTAAGATTTAATAGAGATCTCTTTAAGAGAGGTGTGAATCTGTGTTAATGGTGCTGGACTACATTTTTGTATGCTTTTGCTAAGAGAACAAAGGCAATAAATGGTGAAAATTGTTGCACATTCAGTCGCAAGAACCATAGCTGTACATTGATGTTTGATGACATAGGATGTTTTCATTTTGTAAATACTTCTCAATGAACAAAAGTATGCAAAATTTGAAATACTGTTATGAATTCTGAAATACTGTACATATTTTCACAGATATGGATGACTGCTTAGACTGTCCAGAAGAACAGTATCCAAACAAGGAAAAAACCTTGTGCATTCCAAAGGATCTAAATCTCTTGTCTTACAATGAAACTTTGGGCATCACTTTGACTGTTCTGGCTCTATCATTTTCTGTGACCACAGCAGTGGTACCTGGATTTTTCATGAAACATTGGAATACTCCCATTGTCAAAGCTAACAACCGGAATCTCACTTATCTTCTCCTTGTCTCCCTCTTCCTCTGCTTCCTCTGTTCCTTGCTATTCATTGGTCAGCCCCAATTGCTGACCTGTCTTCTTTGTCAAATTGCTTTTGGGATCATCTTCTCAGTTGCTGTCTCTTCAGTTTTAGCCAAAACCCTCACAGTGGTTCTAGCCTTTATGGATACTAAGCCAGGATCAAAAATGAGAAAATGGGTGGGGAAAAGATTTTCAAATTCTCCAATTCTCTGTTGTTCCTGCATTCAAGCAATTATTTGCATATTGTGGCTGTGCACTGGCCCTCCGTCCCCAAATTTGGACTTGCATTCTCTTCTGGGAGAGATTGTAGTTGAATGCAATGAAGGATCAGGCAACATGTTCTATTATATTTTAGGGTATATGGGATTTTTGGCTCTCATCACCTACATTATGGCTTTCTTTGCTCGAAAACTTCCAGACTCTTTTAATGAAGCCAAATTTATTGCTTTCAGCATGCTGGCATTTTGTAGTGTATGGGTGACTTTTGTCCCAACTTATCTGAGCACGAAAGGAAAATACATGGTAGCTGTGGAGATCTTCCCCATCTTGGCTTCCAGTATAGGAATATTGGGATCTATCTTTTTCTCTAAATGCTACATAATCTTACTGAGACCAGAACTCAACACAAAGGACCAGCTAAAAAAAAAATAACAATTATAGATATTAATTTTATTTTGAAGAATTTACTACTGCCTTTGAGAAGAAAGTTGGAGAGGTAAAATGTTGATTAGTCAGGAGGAATTAGAATGTGTAAGAAAAAGACTCAGAATACCCCCAACTTGACCTCACTGCTCTTCAAATGGGGAAAATGGATTTTTGGCTTAGGTTTCAACTGTCACTATTGCCTAAAACAATAAAGTAATATTCCTTGAATTCCTGCACCATCAGTTTCATGACCTGGTGTACTTGAAAAAGTTGATCATTAAAAAGTAACATATTTGATTATAATATTTCTGGTTCAAATCTTAAACCAACTCATCTTTGCTGCCAGATGAAGACAAAATACTGTATTTATCTTCCTGTATAAATTGTATGTTTTATGAAAATAGCAATAACATACCACTCCTTAGTTTTTTACAGGATTCTGAGAACTTTGTGAGATCAGAATATTTTCCCCGTCAATCTATTCTTCATTTTACTGACCTTGGAAGAATAGAAGTTTAAATCAACCTCAAATAATCAGGATCAAGCTCTCTGTGGGCAGAGATACCCTGCAATACTGCATTCTAATCACTGTGCCACTTTTAATCATACCACCAATGACTGCCACCTTCTCTTCAACCAGGAGCCAAGAATCAAGGGGGCCCAAATCACATCTGGGATCCATTTTGGCAGTGCAACCTCATCCAGCATCATAGTCCTAGAACTGACAGGTCCCAAATTGTAAAGCCATTCAGAATTGCCAGGGTTCAATTGAACATTATCTTTCTCCATAGAGATGTTCACAGTATCCAAGCATTAGGATAAGGCCTAGGATTTGCATTTCCTCTTTTGCCTATAGAACCAGCTATGAATCCTACATAATAGCAATAGCAATAGCACTTAGAGTTACATACTGCTTTACAGTGCTTTACAGCCCTTTATTGAGTAGCATATTGCCCCCAATATTTGGGGTTTTCATTTTATCGACCTTGGAAGGATGAAAGGCTGAGTCAACCTTGAGCCTGGTGAGATTTGAACTGCCAAATTGCAGGCAGCTGGCAGGCAGCAGAAGCCTGTAGTACTGCACTCTAACCACTACACCCCTAATGGCTTGTAGCCCCTATATAACTCCCTAGGAATCTGACAACAGCCAATAGAATATTAAAGGAGATGTTCAATCACATGGTTTGATCACTTGGAGGCTCATGTCATTCATCAACCCAGGAAAAAAATATGACCCACTTTGTGTTACTTTGAGAATATGGATTAAAAGTGAACTCATTGAAATGAGGTAAAAAATCCAAGCAGTCTTTTATTTTGCAACTGTGTTGAAAATGTGCCTCTCCAAGATTTTAGAACTTTTTGTTCTAAAATTTATTCATCTTGTAAATTAAAAATTTATTTCCAATGATATTTCTTTATTATTTGCTTAGTTATGAGGCTTTGCACTTTACTGCTCCAATCCAAAAGGACTTTCAGAATCTTACACACCTGCACCTCTTAGGACATTTAAACCAAACATCATGATAAAATTGAACTATAAATACAACAACTGAAAGTAATTAAAGACCCTCCCAGTAGAATAAAGGGGGGAGGGAGTCTACAAAAGGACTCACTTGTCTTTGGCTTTTTGGATCAATCATTTTTTAATGTGCTTCCAAGAATTCATCAGAGTGGGAGACAATATTCTATTGTTGAAGAGAATTCCATCTTTACAGCCAGAGAATTAGTTTAAAAAAAATTAATAATATTTTTTTCATTGTAATGTTTTTTTACCATCTAGCTCATATATAATTGGCAGTTATAGGCTATTTGGTTCAGAGCATTGATTTCCTCATTCTATTTCTTACTCAAAGACTCTAAGGAGCTTCATTTTCAATTTATCTTATAATTAGCAGCAGAGTCTTGGTAATGCAACTTCTTCTCAAATCCTTAGGGATGTCCAAGGGACAACCCCCCAAAACAGTGAAGACTGAAAGATGCTATTATTTGTGGAACCAGAGGGGTAGAAATGTCACAATCTGAGAAAGAATATATATGCAGATTATTCTAAATAATGAGAGCTTCTTCTTTTTTTAATGTTTCATTGTTGTAGATGGAACTGGTTCATATCTGGTGATGAAAGTCTTCTTGAAAAAGATGGCATTTTTCATGGCAGTAATGGCAATCCTATTGCCAGGGGTTCCATGCCTTATTCCTCATACTAAAACATGTGCTATGGGGAAACCTCAATTTATAAAGCACAAATATTTTCTGCCAGGAGATTTCACAATAGCTGGAATACTCTCTCAGTTCTACATGATATCTGATCGAGTGGATTTCACAAGGCATCCATCTGAAGAACTGGTTGATGAGATCATGTAAAGACTTTCTCTTTTTTGCTGTATGTCTCAAACCAGATATCTTTCTCTAAGAAGATGCCTGGACTGAGTTAATTAGTGGTATTGATTGCAGCACAAATTATTTCTCCTGGTTTCTTGCTGGTTAGTTCCTTCATTCTTAAGCTAATTAAAATGGATTCCCACTGATATTTCTTACTGGCAAATAAATAACAAATATACATACACACGCATAGCTTAAGGCAGATTTCACCCAATGCTTCTGTTCAAATTCTATATTAGGCTTTTCTCATTTTCTTACTGTGGAATGAATCTTCAGTGCTCTACTTTTGAAACACTTTTTATAGCTGATTGAATGTCAACCTTTAACAGTTTAATTTTTTTCCTGAATATTAGGGAACAATGGCACTATATAGTACTTTTAATCTGTTTTTTCAGCATGTATGGAGTACAAACATAGGGCTGCCCTAATGGAACAGTTGTATCTTTTCCTAGGATAAGGAATTCCAGAAAAAGAATTACATACATCATTTATATGGAATATATAAAGAATGGTTGCAGGAATTGGGTATATTTAGTTTAATTGAAAAGAAGGACTAGGGGTGACATGATAGTAATGTTCCAATATCAAAGGGGCTGCCACAAAGAATAGGGGGTCAACTTATTATCCAAAGCATCTGAATGTAGAACAAGAAGCAATGGATGGAAATTAATCAAGGACACAAGCATCCTAGAATAAAGAGAAATTTCTCTAGCTTGCTTTACTTCCACCCACTTTAGGAACAGGAGTTAAGGAGTTTAAGTCTGTAATGTTGGAAGAAAAAACATCCTATATTAACTGCCCCAAACTTTGTTGCTCCAGCTTGCTTGTAAGTGAGGGAAGAGAAGAAGTAATAGATAGAAGCTAATTGAGGAGAGAAGCAACCTAGAACTAAGGAGAAATGTCCTGATAGTGAGAACAATTAACCAGTGGAACAATTTGCCTCTAGAAGTTGTGGATGCTTCAACACTGGGGTTTTTAAAGAAGAATTTATCTGAAATGGCATAGGGTTTCCTGCTTGAGCATACAGTTGGACTAGAAGACTTCCAAAGTCCCTTTCAACTTTGTTATTCTATTTGCTCTCAAGTAAAGTTTAAAACGTATTTTCTTCCTCTACCCATAAAAGAGTGAAGATTGAGGAGCTAAAGATACAAGACTTAGAATTAGGTCTGGGGTAAATCATAATTGCTTTAAAGATACAAGACTTAGAAGTAGGTCTGGGGTAAATCATTATGTTATTATCAATAAAGCAATCCATCAGTTTCCTAGTGAATGACTTTTAGGAATCATAATACCTGGCTTAAAAAATTAATGTATTGTCCTGACCATTTCTCCTTTCATCAAAAAATAATGTTTTAGAACACTCTTTGGGGTGCTAATACGTTCACATGATTTCTTGCATGGTATTATGCAATCTCTTTTTTTCTGTGTAGCATTTAGCTTAATTGTAAATAAAGTTTATGTAATGCCACATTCTTTAAGAGAAGAAATATGATTTGTAATGTATTTATGTAGACTTTTTCTACAGAATTACCAACATATCCTGGCCTTAGTTTTTGCAGTAAAGGAGATCAGTGAAAACAATCATATTTTATTCAACATGACTCTGGGTATGCACCTCTCTAACAGTTATTTCATGGCGAGATGGACCTACTTGGCTTCCATGGAGCTCCTTTCAACACGCGGTAGATTTATCCCCAATTATAAGTGTGATTCCAAGGACTGGGCAGTATCTGTTATTGCAGGACCTAACTCTCACATCTGTCCCTTCATGGCAAACATTTTGAATGTCTACAAGGTGCCTCAGGTAAGATTTACTCTTGAAATACATATCATGGGCTATGACAATAACTTTGAGAGATAGAAGGAAGAACTGTAGCCTAGACAATGCTTGGTTAAGAAAAAATCTCATCCCAAACCGATTTGAGAAAACATCTCAGAATTGACTCCAGGAAGGAAGGAAGGAAGGAAGGAA